TCTATCCCATATTCCCAGTAATATTTGTACCCAAGCCTGAGCCGCATGTACACAGAGTCACTCCAAGCATTTCTCCTTTTACCATAAGTGAAATGGGTGTTTTGACTCACATACATGTAGTGTTGCATGGTTTGACTACTCTCATACATTATCTCTCTCCTCTCCACTCCCGCCTGTGCCTGAATATTTCTGATTTTGCTTCTTATTTGTCTCATTGTGAATTCACATTCAATGTCAACTTGTGGTTTTGATGTGGCACGTTTGGCCAAGTCATCCGCCACCTCGTTGAGCACTATCCCAACATGAGATGGAATCCACATGAATTTCACACTATAACCTTTCAGCTGTATCTCAGTTATTCTTCTCTTACAGTCCTCCACTATAGACATGAAGACTGGGTTTCGACTGTTTAAGGACTCCAGTGCTCCTCGGCTATCGACAAATACAAAAACATTTTTGTCGTCATGACGTACTTCCTCCAAACACGCCAGAATGGCCTGCAGTTCAGCTTGTGTGGATGATATATAATTACTAAGCCGGAGTTCAATTATCCTGTCCACAGTCCCAAACTCCGTATAATCCCTTATTAGGACACCACACCCTGCCCTGCCATCCTCCGCCACCGACCCGTCGCAATATACATGTAAACTGTTGCCTCTTGGTAACCGAGATATCATGCTTCCATACAAACACCGTAATTGTCCCGGTTCATGATGAATCTTTTTCACCTTGAGGGGTACAATTTCGACGTCTATTTTCTGTACTTTCCAGGGAGCAGACATATTACACTTTCGAGAGGGTTTACAGCAGTCAAGTACGTCGTATTCCCTGAGGTCATGAGCTAATCCTCTCGTATAGCGTGTCTCCCTCAGTTTCCTGGAAGTGTGTACGTCACTCAAGCAGGTCTGAACGCTCTCAAACAGCTTATCCCCTCCTTTTCTCCGCATGAAACGAATAGATACTCTAGTGTTAATGTCACGGACTCTATCACACACACTCTGTAAATTTAATTCCATTCTCATTATTTCAATCATTGCATTTCTTTGACATCCAAGAATAATCCTCATAGCCTCGTTCTGTATCAGCTCTATTTTTTTAATTCTGCCTTGGCCTGTGTAAGACAATACGGGTGCTGCGTAGTCTATCAGGGATCGAACAGTGCTTATGTATAACATCCGCAAGATAGGTACCCCAACACCTTTACCAGAAAAAGCCAGTGCTTTTAGAGGATGCAGACGGGCTTTACATAAGGTGCTGATATGATTTATTTCAGCATTTTTACTCTCACATGTGTATCCAACATACATGCCCAGATACTTGTACTTCTGTACACGGCTCAGTTCTACACCATTTAGAGTAAGTGTTATATTTCTTCGTTTCCTATACTCGTATTTGGTTTTATCTGCATTTATAACTAAGCCTAACTTGTGACAGGTTGTACCAAGTATGTTAAGAGCATCTTGAATTTTGTTCCCAGAAGTGCCTTGTATAAGAATGTCATCAGCATATATGATCGTCGTGACCCCTGGAGGATACATCTCTGATGCTAATCTGTTCATTAATACATTGAATAAGGTGGGACTTAATACTCCCCCTTGTGGGGTACCTAACTGAAACCTCCGTTCCTCAGACATGTATCCCTGGTAATACACCTGACCTTTTCTGCCTTGCAGGTAATCCCTTATCCAGTGTAGCAATCTCCCTGTTATTCCCAGATTGGCTAATTCGTATAAGATTACTTCCCCATTGGCTTTATCAAACGCTCCTTGTAGATCAACAAAAACTCTACAATTGTCATCCACATTAGACAAACACTTTAAGAGACAATCCGCAGTACTTTTGCCTTTGATAAAACCAAAGAGATTATTGGACATGTTATCACCTACAAGGTAGAGTAGCCTATTTAACAAAATCCTTTCCATCATTTTACAAAAGCAGGATATTAAGGAGACAGGTCTGTAGCCTCCGTTTGACTTAGGGATAGGAATGATGACAGCCTCTTTCCATTTTCTTGGTAACTTTCCCTCTCTATAACTCATATTAAACAAATCAAGTAAGGGATTAGGTTTCATACCGGCTAAATAATTAAGTATGTCATACGTTACTCCATCTTTTCCCGGAGCAGTGGAGCTGCCACTTTTTATAGCATCCAGTAGCTCATCGTGGGTTATCTCAGTGCATGCTATAGATCTTGTATTTAAGGCACATAAAGTTACTCCATTTCTAATATTTTCCCATGACTCAATGGTGACTCTCGTGTCTGCAGGTAAGGACTCCATACCAGCAGCACTTGCCCATTTATCTACTAACTCATTAGCAACTTTCCCTGGATCTGAGTGAGCAATGAATTTAGTCTTACAACCCCTGACTTTATTTACTGCTCTCCATATGTCTTTAAGGTTCTTAGTATTACCAATGGCCTGAGCAAAGTCTTGCCAGTATCTGTCCCGCGCCTCCTTCCTCACCTGACTGCATTCCCTAGCCACTTCCAACATTGTATTTTTCTCTTCATCCCTCATTCCATTTTTTAACCATGCTTTATGCGCACCCCGTAGCATTCTCTCCCATCCCTTGACTTGCTGATCATTGGAATATTTAAATTTCTTAGGTCCGTGCGTCTTGCTTCCCCTGCCCCCGTTATTTTCCCTCTGTACTAATTTCTCTATGTTCTCGACCATGTCCTCGTAAAAACTATCAACGCAGAGCGGCGTGTAATGTTGATACCAATCTCCCATATTTTGAATAAAATAATTTTTCATATCTTTCTTAATATTTAGCCTTTTCCTTTGAAAGTGGACTTGTTTTTTCCCCAGTGGTAATTCAACGTTCAAGGCAAAGTGGTCACTAAGTAGTTCCCGAACAACCCGAGCCTCCCCCATAATCCCCTGAGAGTTTAAAACGCAGGCATAGTCAAGCCGTCCTCCCCTGATGTGAGTTGGTTCATTGTTTCCCAAGAGACAGGTATCTGGATGATCTTGTAGAAACTGTAACCACTTGACCCCATTAGTATTAATACTACCCACTGTCCCAAGGCTTGTGTGCCGAGCATTAAGGTCCCCAATGACCAGTGAAGGATTAGTATAAATGCAGTCAGGTAAATAGTTAGCGTCGAAGCAGTTCCTGGATACATACAAATTAACGACAATAAATTCCCCTTCCCTTAATGATAATTTAACACAGACACTCTCTATACCTTGCGTTTTTGATGGCGGTTCTACTAACTCTGCTGGTATGGAGTTCTTAACATAAATCGACGTGCCTCTGATGTTATTTGCAGCGAAGAGGTGAAACCCTTTATAGCCATTTAATTTCAATAATCCTTCATTCCTATCCCCTGTCTCCTGGAGAGCTACAACATCAATATCATTTCCCATCACATAACAATGAACATCTGTAACCCTGTTTCTCAAACCATTAACATTCCATGACAACACTTTCAGTCTAGGGTGATCCATTATTAATCAATTCATTGCCTAAGTCATCCCCAATAAGTTCACTAAATGATAGCCATACCTTGTATAACATCTCCCACCTCCTCCCAAGTTCACCAGTAAAAGCGACATTGCGATTCTCAAGAGATTTTTTCAGCCCTGAGATGTCCATTATTGGCCCAAATGATTCCTTCATTTTATGTGTAATTATAGGGTTCTTCCTTTCACTACGACTACCATCATTCACACACACTTCACTTTCCTTCATTTCATCACTCAATATTTCATTTTTGTCCTCAACCACTATATCCTGACTATCCTTCACCGTTTTGTGATTTTCCTTGACCTCCTGAACGTTTAATTTAGCCTCGATGGACTCGATTCTCTGCCCCAGATTTTGGAGGAACTCACCAACTTTTTTAAGTTCAGCCCACACTTCCTTGACCATATTATTATGACCCTCTCTCTGAGCCACAGTAGCCACTTCACTCACCGTTACACTGTCACTGCCGGAGTCCTGAGTGGTGGCGTGGCTGCTTGTTGCTGGAGCCTGCCTAAGTAAAGGTGACTCCTTTACCCACGCATTCGTCCGGTTCACTGGCACTGTTTGGGGCAGACTGTTTTGCTGTGCTCCCGGTGTCTGGGTAAGAGCTCTTGCTTGCTCTGTAACATTCACCGGCCGGAGAACAGCCATACTCGGCCTCTTGCTACACACAGCCGAGCTCGCATTGTGAACACCTCCACAGTTGCAGCATCTGGGAACTATTTTCTCACCCAGATTCAGTCTGTTTCTACACACAGTAGAGAGGTGAGACTTTCCGCAGAAACGACATCGTGGATCATTTTGACATCTCCAGGATTTATGCCCCCATCTGCAGCATTTCAGGCATATTATGGGCTCTTCCACATACTTTGCTACATGCCTGTAGCCAGCCCCGGTGATGAACACTTTTTCGGGTACGTCACCTCTCACTAGAGCCACCACCTGACTCCTAGCTTCACCTTTAATAAGGTGACGCTTGGCCCACACAAATCGTTGGTCGTCGAGTATAAACTCGGGGTCCAGAATCTGAGGGTATTTATAGATAATTACCTTTTCGAGTGCTTGTGTTGCTTGTTTTAGAATTTGATAAATTGGGTGCCCGGTGGTGCCCGGGTCGATATAATATGGTTGAGTCATTTAAGTGTTGAGATTCAGGGTCGACCAAAGCACGTGTATGAGTATGTATCAAGTGTGTCAGTATCACATGTCAGTATGTATCACCTCTCAGCGTGTATTTATCACGTAAATATGTATCATGTCAGCATATATTACGTGTCAGTATGTATCACGACCCAATTTGTATCACGTGTATTTGTATCACCACGGGGGGGGGGGGGGGAGTAATCTTCAGGGCTCTGGATAGTGGTTGTTGTATTAGATTCAGCTACTGGGAACAAAAGTTGCAAGTAGCACGGGCTATGGTGACCCCCTTAGTGGACTTAACTGGCACAGGAGCGGAGCTGTATGTGGGTGGTGTAGCTGCGTGTAAGTGTTGCTATTGTTGACTATTTTTATAACTTGTTGTATTCGTGCAGGAGGACTACTGCAGCACGGAGGGGTGGGACAACCTCCGGCAGAGCTACCAGGCGGCGCACGGCTGCCTGTCCCTGGTGGTGTGCGTCTTCGGCTCCGTGGCCAACGTCATCAACATGGTGGTGCTGACCAGGCGCTCCATGGTCTCGCCCACCAACGCCGTCCTCACGGGGCTGGCGGTGACGGACCTGCTGGTCATGGTCGAGTACATCCCTTACACCATGCACCAGTACGTGTGGCACGGGCGCCCGCTGGCCTCCCGGTACTCGTGGGGGTGGGCGGTCTTCGTCCTCTTCCACGCCCACTTCGCGCAGGTCTTCCACACCATATCTATCTGGCTGACTGTCACTCTGGCCGTCTGGCGCTACATCGCCATCGCCTTCCCTCAGAACAACACTACTTGGTGCTCCATGCAACGCACGCGCACCGTCATTGTCGCCGCCTTCTTTTGTTCGCTCTTCTGCAACATTTCCAACTACCTCAACTTCACCATAAGCAAGCTGGAACACCAAGGGCAGACACTGTACATTGTGGGCTTCAGTGACCTCGCGCAGGCTCACGGCGGACTGATGAAGAGCATCAACTTTTGGATCTATGCGGTTATACTCAAGCTCCTGCCATGCGGCGCACTCACCGGCCTCTCTTTCGCTCTCATACAAGAATTGCTACGAGCCGCAAAGCGACGTACACAGCTCATGAAAGGGAATTCGTTAGTCCGGGGAACTGACCCTGGCCGACAGGCAGATCGAGTCACAAAAATGTTACTAGCGATTCTTGTGTTGTTTCTCGCGTCTGAAGTACCACAAGGAATCCTGGGTCTCCTAACTGTTATCCCCGACTCCGGGTTCTTCCCCTGCTACCAGAAGCTCGGGGAGATCATGGACATGTTGGTGCTCTTTAACAGTGCCATCAACTTCCTGTTGTACTGCTCCATGAGCCAGCAGTTTAGGGAGACGTTCAGCAGTCTCTTCAAGCCGTGTTGCGTCTCGGTAATGACAATACGCACTCCGCGATATACGCCAAGCTGGAAGGCGGTGCCCTCCACCGACCCGGCCTTGAAGGTCAACAACACCTCCATCACACATGTCTAGTCACCAAGTGTTTCAGCGATAAACATGTGTAAACAGTGTGCTGGTGCTTCTAGACTCACAAACATCTCATGTTCGTACATCCGGTTATAACATGTTCGTACATCCGGTTATAACATGTTCGTACATCCGGTTATAACATGTTCGTACATCCGGTTATAACATGTTCGTACATCCGGTTATAACATGTTCGTACATCCGGTTATAACATGTTCGTACATCCGGTTATAACATGTTCGTACATCCGGTTATAACATGTTCGTACATCCGGTTATAACATGTTCGTACATCCGGTTATAGCATATTCATACATCCGGTTGAGACAGAATGAGAAGACATGCTTCTACTGGAACATTAGACTATGAAACTTTCTCCATCACAATAACATTTCATGAATTAAAATAAAGAATAAAAATCATTTTTCTTCCCAAAAATATATAAGAAGACAACTCAAGCATACGAACAAGTACCGAACCAACGCACATAGAGATAACCGAGACATTGTTTCATGCGTTACAACGACAGTTATCAGCATTAACAATTAAAATGCCAGTTTGTTTCCCAAACTTGCAAATAGTCAGAATGATAAAACTGGACACTTAAAGACATGTTCGGCAAACTACTGTAAGGATTCCTTGGTGTTGTGTACCTGCGTAAACGTGAGAAAACTAACCCTTACAGTACATGATCTAAGGCTCTCTCAAGTGGGGGACCGTAGAGTGAGAGTGAACTTATTTGCTGAGAAAGACTCAGCCATTGTTATTGTGTCAGACAATAAACAATTAAATATTCTTCACTACTAGCCTGAAATCACTATATGATTTTCATAGATTTTGAATAAGTTAAAAAATAGATGAGAAACTAGACTAATCATATGTACGATGTATTTTAGCTCCCAATTGTTAATATTATTGAAGAATATGTATGAATGCACTAGCAAACATCGAATGGGAGGTTTGAATCACGCACTTGTTACACTTCTGTGCAAATGATCGTCGCCTTGACCAGTCGAGTCATACCAGCCTCAGGACTCGACTCTGGAAGGTGGGGCTCAGTTCTGCATTAAGGTAGTCTCTTGCACTGTGATATGGACGACACGTGGGGCAAAGTTTGTCAGCCCATAGCGCAGCCGGGAACTAGTTGTTAGTGAGGCCCATTGGTGCTGCTCAGCCAATTAGAACCGGTACTTTTAGGTTGTGACAGCACACACACACACACACACACACACACACACACACACACACACACACACACACACACACACACACACACACACACACACACATATATATATATATATATATATACTCGCGAGGTAGAGAAGAAACATAAAATAACATTGCAGCCAAGGTAAAGGAGCAAGCCAAGCTTACGCTACCACATAAGACATTTGATGGTAAACAAACAGGTAATTAGCCAAGAGAAAAGAGAAAGCAGATACACAAAAATAACAAGACCTGTGAAGTACAAAATTATATATTCCTAGACATATTTAAAAGGGAGCCAAATCTCCCAGCATAACACTTTCCCCGAGGAAAGACAACGAAATAAAGATGAGGAGATAAGAGGCGAGGAGACATCTGAAGGAGCTGGATAACACGAAGGTTACGGATCCTAACGAACCAACTGCCAAAGGTAGTTGGAGGACCACCAATGTAGTCTCCAAATAGAAGACAGTCACGGAGGCAGGAGTCACTGAACTTGAGGCTACTGTCATATGCGAGCATTCCCTGTGTCGGTGCTAGAGAAGCTCGTAAGGGCACGATTCGTGAACACTTAGAAATATTAACTTTGTTGTTGTTTAAGATTCGCTACCTGGAACAAAAAGTTCCAAGCAGCACGGGCTATGGTGAGCCCGTAGTGGACTTGAAATATTAACCTTTGTCTGAAAGTATTTGAAAAGAATTTATTAAAGGAAGATCGTGCCTGACAAATCAAGAGTTTTATGATAAAATGACAATGATAAAACAGAAGAGAGAGAAGGCTGGGCTCACTTTATTTGCCTTGTCAGTTGCACAGAAAATTTTCCTATACAAACTTGAAAATCAAGTTGCCACATAGGACAAGTGATGGGAAGGGTGAGAGGATATCTCTCTGGTGGGAAACAGAATAGAGACGTCGGAGTGGCGGGGATACAAGTACCGTACATCAGGGACCGGTATTGGGACCACAAAATGCAAAATTCTTGATCAAAATTGGAAACGAATTTGACAGTGGGAGACTAAAGGGGGATCAGACACGCTCCAGCGGTGGTCGGACAGATGGCTGCTTAACTTTAACCCTGACAAATGCAAAGTAATGAGGATAGGTGAGGGGTAAAGACCCCAGAGACAGCACGGGCTCAAGGGGAGACAGTTTCATGAAACAAAGAGAAGATCTGGGAGTATATATATAGCACCAAGCCTGTCCCCCGAGCTGGCAAACATGAGAGTAGCCTTCAGGAACCAGGAAACAGAGGTCTTCAGAATGCCATATACAACCTACGCAAGACAGGTTCCTGAAAAAGCAGCGCTGGAATGAAGTCTACACCTGAAAGCGCATAACAAACAGAACAAGTACAGAGATACCAGGATACACTTGTCCCTGAGCTGAGGAAAGTGACTCACAGTGAAAGGCTGAGGGAACTCAAACTCTCCACGTTGGAAGAAAGGTGAATCAGAGTGAACATGATAACAACATACATGATCTTAAGGAAAACTCACAGAATAGACAAATACATGATGCTCGCAATGAGAAACGGTGGTGCCAGAGGGCGCGGGTGGAAGGAAATCCTGATACTAACACCATTACACAAATATATACATCTTAACACAACACAAATATTCGCTGGTAGTCCTTCATGCGGACTGAGAGGAGTGAGTATAGCTATATTATATATATATATATATATATATATATATATATATATATATATATATATATATATATATATATATATATATATATATATATATATATATATATATATATGTTGTTGAATATGACCGAAAAGGTAAGATTAATCATTCTAAGACGAATTTTCTCAATATTTCTTAAGTTTCTCTTCACTGTCGATGGTCTGCGAACTTCTATATGGGTACCATAGAGCAGAGAGGTCTCAGTTGACATGGACTTGAAACCCGCCATATACTGCAGATATGTTGACGACATTTTCATGCAGGTACCTGATGCCAGATGTCTGCAGCAGCTGAAGGAGGCATTTGAGCGAAATTCTGTGTTGAGTTTCACTTACGAGATGGAGAATGATGGGAAGCTGCCCTTTCTAGAAGTAACAGTCACCGAAAGGAGCGGAGGTTTCCACACTGCAGTCTACACTAAGGAAACAAACAGGAATGTGCCTCAATGCCAATAGTAACTGCCCAGACAGGTACAATAGGAGTGTCGTCAATGCTTACGTCGACCGGGCTCTCAGCCACAGCTCAGGATGGAAGCAAGTCGATGAAGAACTCTGTAGGGTAAGGCAGGTCCTAGTCAACAACAGCTTCTCTAACGGTTTTGTTGAAGACATCATAAAAAGAAAGGTGAAACTCCATGCAACCTCTGAAGAGTCAACCAACACAACACTTGTACCCCCTATTAGACTATTTTTCAGGAACTTCTTTTCGACGGCTCATTAAACGGAGGAAAGGGTCCTAAAAGATAATGTTAATAGGAACGTTATCCCTACAGACAAAAATCAGAAAATACAATTGACAATTTACTATAAAACAAAACAAAAACGGCTAACCTACTCATGAAAAACTCCCCAGACACCAAACAGAACGCCTTGAAGGAAACCAATTCGTCAAAGCCTTCAAATGCCCAATTGGGGACTGTAAGCCCCAAAGAACTCAGTACATAGGCAAGACAACAACGTCTCTTTCCAGGCGATTAACGATGCATAAACAACAGGGCTCCATCAAGGAACATATAATCTCTTCTCACAACCAGACCATCACCAGAGAAATCTTAACAAACAACACAGAAATCATCGATAGATACAGCGGTAGCAGGCGGCTCAACATCAGCGAGGCACTACATATAAAAAAGTCAACACCAGCAATCAACAGCCAATTGATGCACAACTATATTCTACCCACTTCAAGACCCTGAACCAACATAGAAGCAGGAAGAGGAGGTATGGGCCAATAGGCCTTCTGCAGTTACTTCCATTCTTATGTTTTCATACCCAATTTATACCCATTGTTTCGTGTTCTGTCTTGTGTTTGTCACCTCACCCAAAACTTTTGTGCCATATCACCTCACCCAAAAACGAGTATAAGTACGATGAATTTGTATGTGTAACCTAAGTCTTTGAAAATGTAATAAGAATTACGAAATGCGTTCAGGCGTCAGACCATAAATAAAAATTAATTTTTGAGAATTGATATTTCAATTACCATCGACAGTGAAGAGAAACATAAGAAATATTGAGAAAATTCGTGTTAGAATTATTAATCTTACCTTTTCAGTCATATTCAACAACATATGTTTGCAAGAAAGACTGCTACCAAAATATACATATATATATATATATATATATATATATATATATATATATATATATATATATATATATATATATATATATATATATATATATATATATATATATATATATAAATGCTGTGATGATGGCAATGTAGCCGAAAACGCGTTAAGCATTCTCTATTTTTCACATGTGGTTTTTCCGCATATGTATGTATATGTATATGTATATATGTGCTGATACATGTATCTACAGAAACCTCAAGAGTCCTGTAGGACATGGGAGAGGTGACAGTGATGACCACGTGAGACTCTTCACCACTCATCAGATGTCGAACATGCAGAATGTGTCAGCTAAATGAGTTGAATGAGCAAACACTGGATGGAACCCCACATCCCTGAGCACACACACACACACACACACACTACCCACTGAACCATGATGATGATCATAAAAGTAGTCGAAGGAATCCAGCGACGCAGGTTCGATCCCATTGTACTGCCTCAATATTTTATCGCAGATACAAGGCGTTCATGTATCTTGTGGTTTCATTATGAAATGAATTCAATGAAAAAAAAAAAAGGTTTCAACGCCCAAAAATAATGTCTTTAAGCAACATTTGTATTTGTAAATATATTATATAAATAATCTAGATACAATATATATATATATATGACATTTATATATATCAATATAAAGTCCTGTGTAAAATGGCATACTTTTATATAGAGAATCAATGTGTTGTGTGGCTTAGTGTTTATGTTGTTATATCACATATGTTGTGTTTCACAAGTGTTACTGTTATGTGTTTCATGAGGGGTCAAGTGTGCAGTCATGTATGTGTTGTGTACTATGATGTGCTGCAGGCAGGTGTTGTCTACTCTCATGTGTTGCTCATGTTTGCTATATAGCTTTCTGTTGTGTGCTTCAGCGGTCCACAGGTCCATAGGGAAGTGTCAGCTGAAACGGTCCACAGGTCCACAGGGAAGTGGCGGCTTAAACGGTCCACAGGTCCATAAGGAAGTGTCAGCTAAAACGGTCCACAGGTCCATAGGGAAGTGTCAGCTGAAACGGTCCACAGGTCCATAGGGAAGTGTCAGCATAAACGGTCCACAGGTCCATAGGGAAGTGCCAGCATAAACGGTCCACAGGTCCATAGGGAAGTGTCAGTTTAAACGGTCCACAGGTCCATAGGGAAGTGTCAGCATAAACGGTCCACAGGTCCATAGGGAAGTGCCAGCATAAACGGTCCACAGGTCCATAGGGAGGTGTCAGCTTAAACGGTCCACAGGTCCATAGGGAAGTGCCAGCATAAACGGTCCACAGGTCCATAGGGAGGTGTCAGCTTAAACGGTCCACAGGTCCATAGGGAAGTGTCAGTTTAAACGGTCCACAGGTCCATAGGGAAGTGTCAGCATAAACGGTCCACAGGTCCATAGGGAAGTGTCAGCTTAAACGGTCCATAGGTCCATAGGGAAGTGTCAGTTTAAACGGTCCACAGGTCCATAGGGAAGTGTCAGCATAAACGGTCCACAGGTCCACAGGGAAGTGTCAGCATAAACGGTCCACAGGTCCATAGGGAAGTGTCAGTTTAAACGGTCCACAGGTCCACAGGGAAGTGTCTGCCTCAGCGGTCTCCAGGCCCAAAGGGAAGTATCTCCTTCAGCAGTCTCCAGGTCCACAGGGATCTCCCTAGCCTGTTCTCCAGGTCCACAGCAAATATTTTTCTATATATTTTGTTGTGTGTACCTGGCGCGCGATGCTACGTGATCACTTTAATAAACAATGTTCGGTTCGGTTCCCCTCCTCTGAAGTTGAGCATCGCTTCCCACAGATAACATATACATGTGAAGATATTTAATCTGCATATATATTAGGCATCCAGACCCAACTCAGTTTATCTTAGTAAATACAGATTTTCAATTAATTTGTTTTTATCATATGCTTATTTGTTTAACTTGTGTCTTAAGCAAGAGGAGGTTGCTGAGATAACCTCTACTGTTATGTTCCTCAGTATCACCTGGCTTAATGCATCAGCCCCCAGGTGGTGGTTCAGGAAGATGGTGGTGATGGTGGTGGTGGTGGTGGAGTGTGTGTGGTGGTGGTGGTGTGTGTGTGAGGCTGGTGGTGGTGGAGTGTGTGTGGTGGTGGTGATGGAGTGTGTGTGGTGGTGGTGGTGATGGAGTGTGTGTGGTGGTGGTGGTGGTGGTGGTGGAGTGTGTGTGGTGGTGGTGGTGTTGGTGGTGGTGGAGTGTGTGAGGCTGGTGGTGGTGGAGTGTGTGTGGTGGTGGTGGTGGAGTGTGTGTGAGGTGTGTGGTGGTGGTGGTGGAGTGTGTGTGGTGGTGGTGATGGAGTGTGTGTGGTGGTGGTGGTGGTGGAGTGTGTGTGGTGGTGGTGGTCTTGGAGTGTGTGTGGTGGTGGTGGTCTTGGAGTGTGTGTGGTGGTGGTGGTCTTGGAGTGTGTGTGGTGGTGGTGGTGGTGGAGTGTGGCGTGGTGGTGTGGTGATGGCGTGGTGGTGGTGATGGAGTGTGTACTCACCTAGTTGTGCTTGCGGGGGTTGAGCTTTGGCTCTTTGGTCCCGCCTCTCAACTGTCAATCAACTGGTGTACAGATTCCTGAGCCTACTGGGCTCTATCATATCTACATTTGAAACTGTGTATGGAGTCAGCCTCCATCACGTCACTGCCTAATGCATTCCATCTGTTAACTACTCTGACACTGAAAAAGTTATTTCTAACGTCCCTGTGGCCCATTTGGGTACTCAGTTTCCACCTGTGTTCCCTTGTTCGCGTACCACTCGTGTTAAACAGTTTATCTTTATTTACCCTGTCAATTCCTCTGAGAATTTTGTAGGTAGTGATCATGTCTTCCCTTACTCTTCTGTCTTCCAGTGTCGTGAGGTGTATTTCCCGCAGCCTTTCCTCGTAACTCATGCCTCTTAGTTCTGAGACTAGCCTAGTGGCATATCTCTGAACTTTTTCAAGCTGGGCCTTGTGCTTGACAAGGTACGAGCTACATGCTGGGACCTCATACTCCAGGATTGGTCTTACGTATGTGGTATACAAGGTTCTGAATGATTCCTTACACAGGTTCCTGAAGGCAGTTCTGATGTTAGCCAGCCTCGCATATGCCGCAGATGTTATTCTTTTGATGTGGGCTTCAGGAGACAGGTTTGATGTGATATCAACTCCCAGATTTTTCTCTCTGTCCGTTTCATGAAGGACTTCATCCCCCATTCGGTATCCTGTGTCTGGCCTCCTGTTTCCACTGCCTTGTTTCATTATCTTACATTTACTCGGGTCGAACCTTAGTAGCCATTTGTTGGACCATTCATTCAGTCTGCCTTGGTCATCTTCTAGCCTCAACTATCTTCCTCCGTCTTAATCCTCCTCATAATTGTTGCATCATCAGCAAACAATGAGAGGAATGATTCTATACCATTTGAAAGATCATTTGTATATATAAGAAACAGTATAGGTCCAAGGACTGAACCCTGCGGGAAACAACACTGGTGACGTCTCGCCAATTTAAGACCTCACCCCTCACAGTGACTCGCTGTCTTCTGTTACTTAAGTACTCCCTTATCCAATGGAGTACCTTACCTTTCACTCCTGCCTGCATCTCCAGCTTTCGCACTAGTCTCTGGTATGGAACTGTGTCAAAGGCTTTCTGGCAATCCAAAAATATGCAGTCTGCCCACCTCTCTCTTTCTTGTCTGATGCGTGTTGCCTGGTCGTAGAATTCAATTAATCCTGTAAGGCAAGACTTGCCAGCCCTGAAACCATGTTGGTGTTGTGTCGCAAAGTTCCTTCACTCCAGATGTTCCACTAGCTTTTTTCGCACAAATTTCTCAAATAACTTGCATGGTATGCAAGTTAGGGACACTGGCCTGTAGTTCAGTGCCTCCTGTCTATCCCCTTCTTGTATATCGGGACTACGTTTGTCGTCTTCCAAATTTTTGGCAGTTCACCTGTTACCAGTGATTTCATATACACCATGGAGAGTGGCAGACACAGTGCTTCTGCTCCTTCCTTTAGTATCCATGGTGATATTCCATCCGGGCCTATAGCCTTTGTCACATCCAACTCTAACAAAAGCTTCCTTACATCCCCACTTTTAATCTCAAATTCCTCTAGCGGTGCCTGGTTAACTATTCCTTCTCTTATCTCTGGAACTACTCCTTGCTCTAATGTGAAGACTTCCTGGAATTTCCTACTGAGTTCCTCGCACACTTCTTTGTCGTTTGTAATGAATCTGTCTGCCCCTAACAATCTGTGTGTGTGGTGGCGGTGGAGTGTGTGTGGTAGTGGTGATGGTGGTGGTGGTGATGGTGGTGGTGATGGTGGTGGTGATGGAGTGTGTGGTGGTGGTGATGGAGTGTGTGTGGTGGTGGTGGTGGGGGGTGAGGTAGTCCCCCTACAGAGCCCAAGGGTGGACCTCCACTCCCCAAACACCGTCGCTCGACAAACCAGCTGACAAATAAAATAACTCGCAATATACATGACTTTCACTAACCTTTAAAATCCATCGCCAACGTATTTGTGGCCATGAGGTCGGGACCTCTCGGGGCCTGAGAGCTGCACAAATTGGAAAAAGGACACCTTACGTCTTCACTAATAAAAACCAAGGAAGGACGATTTGATTGGGATTTTTTCAGTTATTATGCAGCCTATGCTGATGTCGTGGGCGGTAGTGTACCCCCATACCCATCCCGTGGGCGGTAGTGTACCCTATACCCATCCCGTGGGCGGTAGTGTACCCCATACCCATCCCGTGGGCGGTAGTGTACCCTATACCCATCCCGTGGGCGGTAGTGAAAAGGGCAAAAAAGTACATAATGGGCCCAGGAACTGAATGCTAAAACTGCCATTCTCGTGTCACTAATTCTTTCCTATGCAGGAGGACCGTGACCCCCTTCCTCACCGTCGCTCGAGTGAGGTAAGTCAGCGAAGCCTTGATTGAAGCCTCAGGTGTTTAATACCTGTGAACTATTTATGAATCTAAGGAATAGTAGCTTTGCAAGAATGTACTACACACCCACCAACATGTATGCTTTAACAACCCATTGTATCTTCTTGTATATTAATAAATAAATAAATAAATAAATAAATAAATAAATAAATAAATACATAAGTCAATAATTTAATAAATTCAAAATATAAATGGAACTTGGTCTAAATTTCTAGAAAACAAAATGAAAAAGATAATACTTAAAAAGCTGTGTGTAATTTTACCTGAATTTTCCTGAGGGCGACCAATCTAATGGCCTCAATGGGGGCAGGAAGCCGGTGGCTTATCATTAGTCCTTCCCTCCCATAATTTGTCCTTATAATTGTGTTAACCAGATTTTGAGATGCAGTACTGTATTGGCATTTACCGATTTGGCGGGTAGGCGGTTCCATGGGTTTACAATCTTATGGGTAAAAAAAATATCTTGTTTTCTTTCCTCCTTTGTGGCTTGTTGAGCTTGAAGCTGTTGCTCCTGGTATGTATTAAGTGTGACCTTTTAAAGAAGTGGCTTAGATTAATATTTTTTTCAGCATTTTAAACGTTTCTATTCACGAATATATAACAATATGAATACAATATATATGTATATTTATTTATTTATACTTTATTATAAATATTTTTATTTATACAAAAATTTGTATGAATAAAAATAATTTTCATTGTGCGCCTGAAGATATTTTGACTCAAAATAGTTTCGTCTTCCCTCAAACATTTTCTGATTTACTATTTTCAAAAAATAGAGAATGCGGCAATAACAAACGAAAGCGCCTAATTCAAAAATATAAAAATTTCGTACTAAAAGTTGCTGGCCATCAATTAACTCTTTGTTTATTAGGTAGAATATTTACATCAATAATGTTGCTTATAATATATATGTTTTAGAGTTTCATATGCATGCATAGCATCTCACAGGTGTTGTCCAGCATGATGACATGGACAAGGCAGATAAAACTACATGATAAACTTCAAATTGAGTGGGATATGGGTATTCCAATCTCTTCTGTAAAATCCGCAGTATCTCAGGACCTAGGGATTGCAAAAGAGCAGTCACTGGCACTCAAAAGGCCAGAAACCACGAGTAAATAGAGCTATGACATATTTAGAACCGAGAATTATATGTACGGAGCGGCAAAAAAAACTCAACTAGACAGTGTGATTTTGCAATTGCCAGAATTAGACTGGGATATCGAAATTTATGGCAGGTGGCTGCAGGTAATGAATCCCTAAAATGGTGAATACTCCAATTGTAAACTATGTAAACAAGAGCTGGGATATACTCTCCAACACTATACATATCTGTGATTGCCCTGTTATCAGTGATTTCACACCAAACGGTATGAGGTACTTTGACCTCTGTAACTACTTCATACACTCACAAATATTTGAAGATATTCTTGTGCTCAACCCAGATTTGGCTGGTGCAGGCTAATAGATCAGCCTCGCATTTTATGCTTTCTCCTGATCCCATGTATGACTAACCATCCTGTGAGATAGGGATATTAGATGAACTTATAGCTAGTCTTTAATCTACACCTTGTAATCTTTCATATAGAATAGCGAAGCAGCACATTGCTGTGTCTACCTGAGCCTGTTAATAAACAAAATATTTAGACGTTCACACAAAATTTACCAAGAAGAGTTAGGAATTTTTACATGATCTAGATTAACAACAAACTAGACAAGACAGAGTTGACCTCATCAAACCTTACAATACTATAATTATTATTATTATTATTATTATTATTATTATTATTATTATTATTATTATTATTAGTAATGGTAATGTCTTCTCACAGACATAATAACTTACATCTCAACGTCTAGTCAATGTTAAGACGTTGAGATGAAATTCTCGTCTTAATCACACACTCAACCCTTTGACAAAGCACTCAGGAGAGTGCGAAAGACTTGGTGTAAATTCCTTACATAAATTTCACAAATACACAAATGTGGGTTTTATCCTAAATAATAATAATAATGTTTATTTTGGGAAAAGTACAAACATTCAAAATGAGATACAAGAAGAATGTTGGACTGTTGTTGAATGATGGATACTGCTGGAGGTTCTTAAGAACATTAACCCAGACCACTTCTATAAAAGATGAGATACAATACAATACAATACAATTTTATACAATACAATTTTATTTAGGTAAGGTACATACATACAATAAATATTTACAAGGATTGTTTGACTTATAGGTAGAGCTAGTACATACAATGCCTAAAGCCACTATTACGCAAAGCGTTTCGGGCATAATGATGTAATGCATACAAGAGCAACAACCACTTCAAGCTCACCAAGGCAATATGTAGCACTGAAAACAGTTTTTTGTTTAACTCGTAGGGTGAAAACAGTCCTCTGCTGGCGCATTGCATGGTAAGTCTAACTTCGTATCCTGGCCGGGGAGGATTTACTAGGCACCAGTCCTTAATTGTTCCCTTCTGATGTTATGGAGCAGTGATTGGGTACCTGGTTGTTAACCGATCGGCGGGTCGTGCTCCAGGGAAAACTAGTGGGTAAGGCTTACCTTGAGCTATGGGAGGGAAAAGCTCTCAGCCTGCTAACAGGAGTTAAAAAAAAAATCCATGGAATCGCCTACCCACCTGAGTCGTAAATACCAAAACAATATTTCAAGCAGATTCATGTAATTAAATACAACCATTGTGACCGCATTTTTGGCTTCGTGATTGATTGATAAAGATTAAGCCACCCAAAAAGTGGCACGGGCATGAATAACCCGTAATTGGCTACGTGCAATATATCAAGTCAGCTCACTCTTGTCTGTCTTCGTTACTATATTGACCTATATTGCACTATATTGCACTCCAGGTTGCAATTCTTTTACCATGTGGTACAGTTGACTAGAGCCCGTCTGGGAACATCCAGCGCATAGGTTTCGAACCCTCATCAAGGCCCCTTGTGGATTTGTTCATATTGACCTTGTCACTGACTGTCATTGGTCACTAATGGTGGCTCATATTATCTCATGGGTGGTTATGCAGCTGTTTGGGAAATACCAGATGATTTGGTAATACCAGATGATTTATTGCTAATTAAAATAACACGTATAGTATATATTGGATGATATAAATAATCTTCAATGTTCGACGTGTTAATTATTGCTAAATATTACCGTTCAATTTATGTTCTGCTAATAACATATAATAAATGAAACATTGCTATAGTACAAATTATGAATAACAAAATACCTGCCAGTAAAGCTATATTACTCATGATGTTTAACACTTGTGATCTGTGGATGCTGCAGGTACACTTGACTCCTCTAAGGCGACGAGAACGTCCACAGTCTGCCGACCAGTGAGTCACAAGACTCAGCAGACTGCATGCTGAGTGAGGGCGAGGCTTCCCGGGTCATGCTTACTGTCTCAGGTATCCCTTCAGGACGGTCCGTCAACCCGGGCCCGCAGCCTAGTGTTTCTTCCTCTGACTTGACATCTCCAATATCCACCTCGTCCTCCTCCTGCTGAAGATGTGACATTTTTTAAAACAAAATATAACAAATAAGTGATGTAATGCAGCAACAAATCAATTTAATTTTAAACACAATCTAACAAATAAGTGATGTAAGACATCAACAAATCAATTTAATTTTAAACAAAATATAACAAATAAGTGATTCAAAGCAACAACAAATCTGATTTATTTTTACAAATACTAAAAAGAAGTTACATCTAGTTGGTAATATATCCAGGATTTAAGCTGATTATAAAGAGCTATGGCATGTTTAGAACCGAGAATTATATGTATGGGATAGCATAAAACCTCCACTAGACAGTGTGACATTATAATTGTCAGAATTAGGCTGGGATATTGATATCTATTGATATCGATATTCCAGAATTAGGCTGGGATATTCATTATCTGCAGGTGGCTACAGGTAATGATTCCCCCCAATGGTGAGCACTCCAATTGTAAACTATGTGAACAAGAGCTGGGACATTCTCTCCAACACTATGTTTGTGATTGCCCTGTTATATGTGACAGACCAAATTTGATGAGGTACTTTGAGCTCTGTAATCACTTCATATACTCAGGAATATTGGAAGATATTCTTGTGCTGTTCCCAAATTTTGCTAGTGTGGGCTAATATATCAGCCTTACATTTTATGTTCTCTCCTGATTTTTAGTCAGTTGATTTGTTTTTATATTGAGGCAGGTATTTTCTCCCCAGATACCATGTATGACTAGCCATCCTGTGAGATGGGAATACTAGATGAACTTATAGCTAATTTTTGATCTACACTGTAATCTTTCATATAGAATAGGGTAGCAGCACATTGTTGTGTATACCTAAGCTTGTTAAAAAAAGGATTATTTTTTACGTTGTCTTTGCGGCTTAAAAAGTAAATAATAAAAAATACCTAATACTTGTCCAATTTTCGTCAATTAAACCTCAAAATATATCAACAGAAAACAAGCTTTCAAATGTAACTTTGTTTTTATAAGAGGGATAGGAAAAGGTTATACTGCCGCCATAAAGTGAGGAGGACTAACCCTCTTCATGGGACCCGCATTGGCCAAGACGCCATCTGACGGCATCACAGAGGAGACTGATCTGGTGTCAACGTCGTCCGAAGGAAATGAACGTCGTGGGAATCTCCTTGAGGACTTCAGATAATCCTCCATAAATACTTCTCTCCCACTGATGATCCTGGCAGCGATTGCCCCGTCGCTTGTATTGTCATATATTTTAAAAGGAATCTGAAGAGAAAAATGTGATATTATTATTATTATAATTTTCCCAACACACAGAAATCCCAATAATGTGATATATAAAATGAACAAATCCACAAAGGTCTTGATGAAGGTTCGAACCTATGCACTGGGTGTTCCCAGACGCACTCTAGTCAACTGTACCACGACATGATAAAAAGAACAATTGCCTCCTAGTTTGCAGTTCTTTTACTTTTGATTTACTTTTTTACTGCAATTTACTTTTGATTAACGTAAATTAACGTTTGGTCACTCCCGACGCGGAGTTTTTGAGTACCACTCAACGAACTTATTGTGATAGTGTTGTATTATTAGTATACAGTACTTGTAAATGTATTGTTTTTATACTTGTAAATATGCTTATACAAAAACAATATTGAACGTAATTATATATGTTCAAAGGATTACTTAGCTGTATGGTCCTAGGAATAAAAGTTATTATATGTTTAGAACTGAGAACTATATGTTATGTAACACAAAACCTACTGTGACTGTGACAATGTAATTCCCAGAATTAGGCTGGGATGTCGATATCTATGGCAGGTGGCTGCAGGTAAGGAATCCCGCAATTGTGAACATTCCTATTGTAAACTATGTGAACAAGAGCTGGGACATACTCTCCAACACTATATAAAGTGATTACCTTATTATCAGTGATTTCAGACCAAATGGTATGAGGTACTCTGAGCTCTGTAACTACTTCGTACACTCACGAATATTAGAAGGACTCTTGTACTCTAGCCAGATTTTGCTAGTGCAGGCTAATAGATCAGACTCGCGACTCATATCCTCTCCTGCCCTTCCTGTGAGATGGGGATATTGAACTTATAGCTAGTTTTTTATCTACACCCTGCAATCTTTCATACAGAATAGGATAGCAGCACATTGCAGTGTATACCTAAGTGTGTTAATAAAAAAACTAGTCCTATATCAAAGGACGATCTCTACCCAAGTCCAAAAATGTATTTATTATTCATGGTCATAAACCTTTTCCGTTATTTATTATCCTCCAACACTTAATTCAGCACAAGATTCTTCGCCCAGTCATGATTCATATCTGAAAATGTTTGCAATATAATATACCTGAAATGGTGTGTGACCTGGTCAAAACTGGAGTAAGTTAGGAGTCGAGTACAGAATGGCACTCACATGGAGGCCGTTATCACTAGTGGCCGAGGATGTGAATCCGTAATTGCCAGTGACTGAAATGTTGCTAAATTTTCCCTTGGTTTTCAAATTTTGGTTTGTCTCAACTAGTCCGTAATTGTCAAGAACTGTTAAATTGTTTTGAAAAAGGTAAGCTTAGATATGAAGCTTCTTTCCAGTATTGTCCCATAATACATTTCAGACAGCCGTTGCCAATTTCGGAATTGGCCAATAGTTACATTGGCCTTTGAAGTCCAGACCACCATACACACATAGTGTACAAAGTGTCTAGTGTCTTTCCCAGCCTGGAATGCCTCCCCTAGCTAAAAATCCTTCCCTGGGGAACCAAATGACCCGTGTTTAGGAATCGGTGATCCAAATGTTTTACCCATGCACTACAAACGCAAATAATTGCCAACAGATTTAAAACATCTATTCAAACCTATCACAGGCCTAACTATAAACAAAAATTATATAATATGCATTATTTTAATTTACTCGTAGAACACTGTTTTTAGTTGCACAGTATATTAAAATTTATGAATGGGGGTTGGGGGCAGCTTGAACGGGAATCACCTGACGATGGGATGGGGATTAGGCTATATAGTTTCTTTGATAAGGAGAGCGTAATTACGGGTTCACTATAGCCCGTTTTACATAGACATTTCGTTCTGAGTAGTTCAATCTAAAATCAACAACAACAGAAGAGCGTAAGATAACCAGCGATCTCCATACAAGTTTTACGAACATAACTCACATAAAATACATTCAGCTCTCGTGACCAGGATTCGAACCCGAATTATTGCTGCCACAACATAATATACTAATCATTATGCGAGCACGACCACTTACATATATTGAATGGGATGATGGCTCTTAAGTGTACAGTTAAGTATGTATGAATCCGTCCCCTGCCTTCTGTCTCTAAACTCACCCGTCTGTAGCCTGTTAAGTCACAGGCTCGTAGACGCCTGTAGCCTATCATGTCACGGGGTTCGAAGACTGTCTGTCATGTCATATGCTCGTAGACGCCTGTAGCCTGTCATATCACGGGTCTCGTAGACACCTGTCATGTCACGGGCTCGTAGATATCTGTCGCCTGTCATGTCACAGGGTTCGAAGACGTCTGTAGTCTGTTATGTCACGGGGCTCGTAGACGCCTGTAGTCTGTCATCGAGTGATAAATATCCACTCAATTTGACATCACTTTCCTAACAGAATCCTGGAAACCTTGAAAAAGATTAGATCCTTGATTGAAGATTAGATTCTTGAAAAAGATCCAATTTTTTTATTGCCAAAATGAAATAATCCAAGAAATAGGTGCCAAGTAAAGCCTTAAAATCTGATTTTATCTTGGAGTCTTGCTCGAGACAAAAAAAAAATTGATTATATCTTCTTGAAATATTTGTTGTTTTCTTATCACTTTAATCTCATATGAACCTAAATTGTCTTGCTCATTGTGTACTGCTGAGTTGGTAAGTCCAGTCCTTGTAATGGTGTTCTGTTTGCGTTTGAATTCCTTGACAATGAGAATATAAAGCATTACCAGTATTGACAATAATTCGTAAAAATACATATAGAGTTTTGTGCTACCTTTAATACTTGTTTTGCTGGTAATAACTCACCTTGCAATCAGTGCCGTTAAAGAAGGTAGCGGGATGCAGCCTCCAGTACCTTGACGCTATGTTGAACGTTGACACACGGAAGCCTCTATCATACCACGTGTCAGTGAGCAGCTCTCTCTCATCCCATCTTCTAAGAATCTCTCTGATCGCATCGTCGAAGGTCTCAAACATATATTCGAAGAAGAAATCATGCAGGGAAAGTCCTTTGGGAGAAATGGGTAAGTGAAAATTGAAATGGCAACTGTCATGTCTACCAAAACGGCCGTTTACTTGCAGTGGTGCGTTTAATGTCTTGAAAGGGTGAATAATCTGGTCCTGGATAGGTGCCATGATGCTTTTCCCGACTGCAATGCACTCAGCACTTCTGGAGGATAGATTGCAAGTGAGTACGTGCGTGTGTACACGCGGTAGGTCGCGTACTGACAGCTAACAACATACTCTCCAGCTTTATACACACCGGCGCCTTCTTCAGTGACGTAGCCACAGCATCATTCCTCTATCTTTAGCTGGGCGAACAGTGCCAAGTTGAATATTAGCAAGGTTACTCACGTGAGGGTTTTGTATTCATGAGGCATTTATCTTTTAAATATTTCTCATTTCCATAGGGAAATGAGATATATGTTACTTGGGGAATTTATAATTCCCCAAGTAACATATATCACGTAAATATTATTTTTCTAAACTTGGCCTGTAGATGTAGTATTGTGATGTGAATCAATTATGTATTATGTAATACATATATGTATGCATATCTAAAACAAGGACATTAAGATATACTAAGACATGGAGACGGAAGCAGAGACAGGGCTGTCTGCTGCAGAATGTGGGGTCTGTGGCAGACATTGAAATCTATAAAAGATAATGTCTGTCTGAGATTGGAGACCAGACGCTTGGAGCTAGCCTCACCCAACTTTGCTGGATGACACATTTGGTGGTACGTGACTCACATAGGCAGGTCGGGAGGTTTGGCTCCTACTGCGACTTCCAATGACTCCTATGAAATCTGAAATAGAGATCGGGTTTTCCAGAAAGTTTTGTAGCAATTTTTCAGCTGTTCATTACACACAACATAATCACAACGTTGTTACAATGTTGAATCTAAGTAACAAAAGTAAAAATGTTGTTACGTCAAGTTTTTGCTGCACAAATGTATTCCAAGTTCTGAGAGAGAGATAGAGCAACCCGTTCTCGCACTTTCTTATAGTCAATATTGACTTATTAAATACGTGCATATGTGACATACTAATTTATTGTGAATATTTTAGTTTACCTTGAAAAGCTTCATAGAAAACACCGACCTTACCTAACCTTCTTAGTATGTTAAGATAAGCATCTTATTGCTTCTTAATTACAATTATTACTTAACCTATACCTATAATAGATTAAGTAATTATTGTACCTATACCTATAATAGGTTAAGTAATTATTGTAATTATGAAGCAATAAGATGCTTATCTTAACATACTAAGAAGGTTAGGTAAGGTCGGTGTTTTCTATGAAGCTTTTCAAGGTAAACTAAAATATTCACAATAAATTAGTATGTCACATATGCACTTATTTAATAAGTCAATATTGACTTAAAGAAAGTGCGAGAACGGGTTGGATAGAGGGTAAGAGGGAGATAAATGGAGAGAGGGGAAGAGAGAGAGGAGGGAGACTGGGGGCAGATATGGAGGGAGAAGATGGGGAGAGGATCAAGATAGGAGGGGGAAGGTGAAAGGGAGGAAGGTAAGGAGAGGGAAAGTAGCGGGAAAACCACACAGGCAAAGCTGCGGCTCCCGCACAGCCAACTGATAAGGCACCCGGAGCCGATCCAACACCTGACAGCAACGAAGTTGGAGGCGAGGTAAAGCCCCCAGAGGCTGGGGGACACACACCAACTGAGAGTCCTAAACGAGGCCCAGCCATGTCTACACCTGGGACAGAGCCAACTGGAATGTCCACCAGTTCACCAGCAACCCAAACCCAGCAAACTGGGAAAGAACCAGGTCCCTAGCCAATTGACACGGACTTGGAGCCCAAACCAGCCAGTTATCGCGGTAAGCCAACACGCAAACCCCTGAGAGGTTCACAATGTCAGGTTAGATCAGGCCACAATGACCAGTGCCAGTCTGGTAGAAACATGGGGAGCCAGATTCAAGCCGAAGGACAGAACTTTGAAGCCTCACAATGAAACCAGTTCCCGTACCTGGGATGAATTGGGACATAATATACATCTCTGAGGTCCGTGAACACGATAAATGATGTAGTCTGCAAGATCAGGTGCACTAGAGCCAACGTGGTCATGTGGAAGATCAAACAAGAAATGAAGCAGTTCAAACTCAAGAGTGAGAATGGCCCATAGGTCTACCACACTAGTTCCCAAACTGGGGGCCATAGTCCCTGGGGGGGGAGGCCCCTTTTAGCAATATGTATGGGTCCAAAAGTTAAGGCAGTGTACAAGTTATGATATCACAGGGTAGTGGGGAATTGCAGAGTCCCGCTTTGGGACCGAGTACAACTAGGACACCAATAAAGGGACAATTAAGGTCCTTTCACCCTCGCCAAAGTCCAGCCAATCCCCGATGACCAGAATCAGAAGTGAAGATGACCCCAGACCTACAAGCCCCTACCCTAAGAGAGAGGAAAATGACTGACCAACTCCACTGCTGGTCAAGAGAGATGACCTAAAAGGCACACAAATCATGGGACCAAGAGCCGGTAAAACCGGCCATATACGCCCTACACAGTTCCATCAAAGGGGCAAACCACGAGGGCTGGTGCAACCCACGGGCAGTACCATCCTTTCACGACACAAAACAGCGCCTACGAGCAAAAGAGGAACCCAAAACGGGAAGAGCCACAACCCGGGAATGTAGCTCCACCAGGGACCTACTCTAGTCTCAAGCAGGCGAGTCCCCAAACCCTACCAGACTGCCTCCGAAAGGCAGAAGCAGAATCGCAAAGTTCGTTGATCAGAAGATAGGAAAGCAGCAGCAGCAGAAACAACCTAAGAAATAGCATTCTTAGGGAAAAGGGAAGGCAAAAGGAAAGCAGGCAGACAAAAAGGGTTAAGGACCAAACCAAATCTAAAGACCTAGCTAACACAGACTGCTAACATGTGAGGCAAAACAGAAAAAGCCACCACTGTCTCGAAGTATAAGGATGAGTAGCTTGAGCAAGGCTGCCAAGGCCAAAACCACAGGCTTCAGGGTCCCAACACCAAATACAGAACCAAGTGAATCCACATCCTCACGTATCTGCTTAAAGCCGTTCCACAAGAATAAAAAAGCACAAGACCGCTGCTCGATGTATTCGAGTTTTATTGTCATCTGCAATAAGAGCCCTGAACAACACAATCAACTATGTGCGTATGGCGCTTCCTCTTGTCCATATGCTAGGGGAGCACCAGAACAAACAGAACCTTCTACCAGTAAATAGGGGCACTGCCCAAGAACACCTGAAAGAAAGAATGCACTTCTTGCCAATCAAGCATGTGGTTGATCAACAAAACCCATATGAAGCCCCAAGGACGAATCCGGAACCTCACAATGTAGTCATTGTGAAACCTGCCCGAAACGCTTTGCGTAATAGTGGCTTTAGACTTTGTATATACTAGCTCTATCTATAAATCCATCAATGCTTGTACTGTACCTCACCTTGTATGAATGTACTTTACCTGAATAAACATTTGATTTGATTTTTTTTTCATAAGCTGTGGCCAACTCGAAAGAGACTAGGTCCATCAATGAAACGAGGCCCAAACTCAGCAGGAGGTACCAAAAGAAATCCACATGAACCACACACGGTGAAACACAGGAAGACTGAAACCTTTGGAAAAAGGACGACTACGAGGCGCTGAACAGCACACGGAATAAAACCCAGTGGGGAGCTGCCAAGTGATTATATTTATACATGGAAGGGAATAAGAGAAATTCTTCCCCTGCAGCAAGAGATCCTCTACTGAAGAAACCAAGGTTCAAGAAGGATTAAAGGGCACCCAAGGACCCTCTGCGGGCTTCCCCCACCCAAGCCTTGGAAGCCTGCTATGAAGGTTCCAGTACAGAGTCGAGGTTTTATGAGAGGGTGATAGTAACAATCCCCAGCACCCTGTGCCCTTATTATAGGGAGGCCAGGTTCTGACTCTGGTTCCCAGTAGACCATACAGGATTCCTATGGAGCTGGTATCATAAGATAGCTACAGGGAGGCAACTTTCAGCTCCTCCATAAAAAATGTGATTTGATGGAAATTATATGATGAACTAATAATCTAGATTCACCACAACCCCCTCTTTTTTTTTTTTAAGAATTCCAGAGAAGAAATTTGGTCCGTTGTTTAATGGGATCATTGTGTTTTTGAAGCCTTGGGTATTGTTAAAATGTTTATCATGTTGATTAGTTGCTGCTGTACATTATATTTGTAATGTTTTAACACCAGTTTTGGTGAAGTGTCTATAAAATAAATATATGTTTAATATTAATGTCATTTACTTTTTATTCCTGCGAGTGGTTGTCATAGGGGCCTCAGCACACTGCTTTGCCTAGGGGCCCATAATGCTGCAAAAACAGCCCTGAAATGGTGTACAGGTTCCCGAGCCAATTGGGCTCTAATTATGACTACTGTTAATTTGAAACTGTATAGAATTTGCCTCCACCACATCACTTCCTAATGCATTCCATGTGTTGGCTGCTCTGACACTGGAAAAATCTTTCTAATGTCCCTGTGGCTCATTTGGCTACCAAGGTTCCACCCGTGTCCCCTTGTTCATGTACATACCATCCTTGCAAAATTGTTCGTCTATCCTGTCCATGCATGAGAATTTTGTAGGTGGTAATCATGTCTACTCCTAATACACTTCTTCCAGTGATGTCAAGTTTAATTCCACTAGTCTTTCCTCATACCTCTCAACACAGCCTAGTCTGGTGGCATACCTCTTATCTTTCCATAACTTCAAATTGTTTTACTAGATATAGACTCTACACTGGAGCCACATACTCCAGGACTGGTCTGACATATGTGGTATAAAGGTTCAGAATGATCGACACAAGTTTCTAAATACTTGTAGTTCTTATGTTGGCCAACCTAGCATATGCCACCAATATCCTTTTGATGTGGGTTTCATGGAACAGTTAAATCTGATATCAACATAAGTCACAAAGACAATTCTTTTTTAGCAAATATGAAAAATTGCAATAAGTTTACACACAAGATCATATAAAGGCCACTCTCACAGACAAAAATTAATGTTTGCTGCCTGAAAGCTTGCACATAATATATTTTTGTTATATGGCCAGGCACTTGAAGTTATTGATAAAAGGATCAACACAAACCGACAAAACTTTAATTGAAAACTTTAATTGTTAAATTTCCAACTGTATAAATATATATATATACTGTATATATACAGTATAAAGTATTTGAAAGCGTTATAAATTACTGTACATCTTTATGAATTATCCATTTAAAGCAAAAATACTATACTACTATACACCAAATCTTTTGCTTTAATTTAAGCATAAATGTTTGACAATAAAGCAACTGGGTTTACAATATATTTAAATAAAATATACAAACTTAAACGTGCACCATATGAAATAATACACAAGAAACATTTCACAATTTACTAACAATTTTTTCATGGAAAAACAAACTTAGTTTATTAATTTTGCATCATGCATATTGTATATTATTATACTTATTTAACCAATGCACTATTAAGCATACATTCTAATTCTTAGCTAATTATTTACATTTCACATTCATCTTTTAATGCCTGTTCCTCAACAGCAGTTGCTGCTTCAGCAAATTCTTCATCGCAATCAATCTCGTGTACATATAGGTTTTCCATTTTAGGCGTCTTTGAATGGTTTTGAGACATACTAATGTCTATTGTAGAAGCCTGAGATAACTCTTCAAAATACGAACTACCAGGTGTTGAAATAAGAGAGAGCATATCCCATGGATTGCTTTTTTGAGAGAGATTGCTTTTTTGAGAAAGATTGCTTTTTTGAGAGAGATTGCTTTTAGAGCTTTCTTGGGATTCTTTAAGACTGCCAGATGAACTAGATATCTGGTCAATATTATCCCACTTCTCAAAAGCTTCTACAGCACCCACAAGTACCTCATCTGACACATCGTTCTCATCCGCTTGAATTGTTTCTGTTGACAGCAACCCATCCTCTCTCTCACTGCTCGTGTCACGAACACTTTGAACCCAATCCATCATTTCGTGATCAGTCATACTTCGCCAGAAAACTGTGTGTTCAGGCAATGGCCAGGCACGAGACCTAAAACCGTAACAATCAGGGTCATGACACTTTTGGTAGTATGTAGCAGTCTTCAGATTGACAACATACATAATTCCATTACTTTTATGCTCACGTTTAATGTTATAACAAAACCTGTTGAGACCTATTTCGTAGACCAACACTTCACCCTGTGAAAAGTAATACCAACACCGTATATAGCCCGGATTTACTATTCCCTGAATGTAGCTGTCAATTTCTGGGTATGGAGAGTGATTGAAACCTTCAATATCAGACCCAGAACGCTCGTTATTATACTTATCACAGATTCTCGATCTTATTTTATGGCAATTTTCCCCATAACTTAGAACTTTGCAGCTATTTTCTACCAGAGTTACAAGAGAATCTAGAAAGAATTGCTCATCCTCAGGAATTTCAGAACTGTGATTGGAACATATTCATTTTCTTGAGCAATAATTAAGGGAGAATTTTTTCCAAGCTTGGTAGATTTGTATATTCTGAAATTCCTGTTTTTGGTGTAGACTCCTTCATCACAAAACAGAACTTTAGTGTTCTTTGAGTCCAGAACAAAGAGATTCCTAATATCACCCAAAGTAACATCAGGAATCATCATCATCTGTTCTTCCTTGTCCCAGTCTCTGAGTTTATTGCATATCATCACAACAAAATTCCCAACATCAACATTAGTAGCAAAAGCAACATTTGGAAGATTAAAAATCAAGTGACGACTAAATTTCTTTAAAGTACTACTACTTAAATCCAAAATATATTTTCTACTGTACTCAATACCAAACTCTTTATCCAGAAAAAAACAAACAATCCTGATGAAAGTATTGGTCATGGAAACCCCATTTCTATCAGGATTGTAAGCAACTAGAAACTCAAGATCAAAATAAAGTTTACATACAGAGTTCTCTTGAATAACTTCATACGAGCATCTCTGATTAGGGTGTCGGCCACAATGTCGAATCCACATTAAGGAAGGATGAGCAACAACAAAATTTCTTTTACCACCTTCACCAACTGCATCTCCTTCAAAAGAAAATACCATAAGCCCTTCTCCTTGTACTTGTGCAAACCTAATTGCTTCTGCTTGACGTGAAAATATTTTCCAGGTGGCTGGTGGTCCAAGAATCCCTGGACAATATTCACTAGGCAATGGACTCTGTTCCATGTACTTAGCAGCTTTTGCCACACGAAGAAGTTGATCTCTAAATTTGCTGTCGCATGTTGTTCTTGCTTTTCCATAGAACCCAACAGTGCTGAATGTGGTGATTACGGCTTCTCTTGTGTTTTTCTCCATTCCTCATGTTTGTTAAATTATTTCCAATGTAAAAGTGCTATTGTAGTAACCACAGTACTGTACAACAATTCCTTCGCTTCCTGTAATTAAAAAGATTAATGTTAAAACCATCAAATTCCCTAGTTAAAGCATTTTATCACAAGGGCTCTGATATTTATATACTGTATGTCCTAAAATTCTGAAGCTTTAAAAGCATTAGCAAAACAATTATATTAATTGAAAAGTTCTCTCAATGGGACAAAACCTTTACAAATACAGGAAGCAGCAGAAAAATGGTAAATTTCATAAAAATATGCTTTTATTTTTTAAGAATGTATTAATGCATCATGTAACGAACCGCCTAACTCTGGACAGCACCCCAGTAGCTTTCCATAGTTTATGACACCGGCACCTTAAGCCCATGATAGCGATACCCCCTCGTGAACCAACGCATCCTCCGAATTGACAGTACGGTTTAATACCAAGTAAAATAAGTACAATTTCTGACTGCTAGGAATAGTACATAATTGCACTTGTGCCACTACATTTACCCCCCCATATTCAGAGGATGGGCTGCGTGAACAGGCACCCTGAGAACCACAAGGCAAGCTAATAAGGTTTAAAACCATTACGGCATTTGCCAGGAAATCCTGAGCATCTTGGCCCTCTCCAACAACAACCGGGAAATACTTGAACCTGGAATTCGACCCCAAGCTTTGGACCAACAAGGAAATATACATGAAGAAGGAAAGCGATGCAAGATCTCCCATAGCTCACAATATGTGCTCCATTTCGGCCAACTGCAAACTAAAGAGAATCGGAAATAAATGAGTGGGAACAAAGCGAGAAGGCCAAAAGCATCCCCGCCCCAAAAACCTATGGCCAAACTGACACCCTGGACAGTACAACCACTAGGACCCAAACACACACAGCAGGTCTACAACAAAGCATTCCAAGTACTGTACCTGTGGCCAAAGTTGAGAGCATCACAACCAAGGACAGACTACTGGACATGCCCTGCATGGTAAAGGGTTCGAAGAGAAAACCACTCCTAAGCAAAACAGTTCTGTCCACAGGATGAGAGAAAGCTAAACTGAAACCCTCCCACACAAGCATACAGTAATGGCCCCAAAGTGGAAAAAATACCAGGCCCAGCTGAAAGTTTTGATTGAAGCAACATAAGCTACCATCAGGAAATGAAAATCCCCTCGGAATACATAGGAAAGCTGTATGCAGCACAAATCTCTGAACTGGGTGGGTGTCATAGCAAACTAACCAGCAGGGACAACCAAGTTAACTAACCCTCATGCAAGGTCATCGGAAGGTCCGCCCAAACCAACTCCTTGGGTGGAACTGCCAGGCATAATAGAATGTGAAAATGGCTCCAAAACATAAAACCCACACACTTTGAGACAAGAGGTATGAAGGGTCAAGAGAATAAAGAAAGACCCATAGTACAGCTCAAATGCAAACCTGCAGCAAGGGTGGGCTCTGAACTAGATAGGGAAGACAACATGACCCCCACAAGCAGAGAAAGCAAGGTAAATAAACCTCCCTGAAGCACAGGAAAACAGATCAACCGCAACACATCTATGAACAGAACAGCCAGAGAATGAATATAGGGCATGAGGAGCCATTTAATGGAAATGAACAATATGACCAAGTATACACCTGGTCAAAGGTGCATGCTGTCACTTATTCATAATAATTATAATATTGTAACATATCAGGGCCATCTTAACAGCATTATGGGCACCTGGGCAAACCAGTGTGCCCCCTAAGACAACCACTCACAGGAATAAAAAGTGAATGGTTGATAATATTAAACATACGGTATTTATTTTATCGACACCATCAAAACTGGTGTTAAAACATTAAAAGCATACTGTAGAGCACCAATTAATCAACAAATTTTTGAACAATACACAAGGCTTGAAAAACAATAATACTCGGTAAGCTACACATTAGACGGCACAGTATGAAATTACTACAAACATCTTGTTATAACAAGCATATGCGGCATTTCTTTTCAGAGAATTGTCTTGTTACTGGCTTGAAGTCAATGGTCTCCAGGATGTCATTTTCCATCAACATGGGTGAAAGCTAGTTCAAACAATGCTGCCCCATTATGCTACAAAGCAGAATTTGAACAAACTTCAGTCTTGAAAAAGAATATTCTCTTGTACAGGAGAATGTTCATGCACATGAAAACTCCAGTGCAATTTCAATATTCGGGTATACAGATTTCAAATTGTCCAAAATTATTTTTGTATACAATGCATGGAGAGAGTCAATTTTTATCAAGAGCTATGTAGTAGTCAAGATCTATCTTGAGGTTATCTCGAGATGATTTCGAGGCAGCGTCCCAGCGGCCTGGTCCTTGACCAGGCCTCCTTTTAGTTATACACCCCCAGGAAGCAGCCCGTAGCAGCTGTAACTCCCGGGTACCTATTTACTGCTAGGTTACAGGGGCATCAGGGTGAAAGAAACACTGCTCATTTGTTTCCGCCTCTACCAGGAATTGAACCCGGAACCTCAACGAATCTGAAGCGATGTCTACTCAGCTGTCAAGCCCCGTGAGATGCTCACGTTCATTTAAAAGGTCATCATAATTCAGGTCTTTGATAAATATTAGCCAGATGTTCACACTTTCTTTAGTGCATCAGAAGCAATGGTTTTTAATTTACTGAAGAAGAAAAACAGATTTTCAATCTGTGACTAAGCCTCTGCACGTTTTGTCAAATCAAAGATAAGTGTCCAGAATAGGGAAGAAAGTTTCCACCTTGAATTTTTCCATTTTAACGAGAAAATTCCTTTTCTCTTCAGCTGATCCATCATATCTACTAAGACGCACACTTTGTTTTCGTTCCCGTTTTTTCCCATTATTGTAATCTGTATCTGAACATATACTCCTGGCTTTGAATTCATATTCACTTAATTTGTCTCTAATTTTCTGAAGATATGTTTTCATAGACATATGAAAACTTAAGACTTAAAAGATTCATGGCAACAATGATGTTCATATCATTTGATTGCAGGATCTTGCGTTTTGTTCATTCATTCTAGCATGTCATTCCAAAAAACACTGTGCGAGTTTATACCCTATGTGCGAGTTTGAAAGTTTGCCATCATGAATCTAACTTGAGAGCCCACCACAAATCCAGTAATCTACTGTGTTGGTATAATTAATGTGCCATAGCCCCAGATCTGCCTCTTGGATTGCCAACTCCTTACCTGAAAATATATCTTAAATATTTAGTCCCATACCAGGATGAAGGGTTACATTATACAAGTGTGCATGCAACAAGACCCAAATATTTAAAAATTCTGCTTCAATAATGAACATGCTCGGGGTCTCCACGAGTATAGGACAAGTGCCCATCAGGCTCATGTGGTAAGACAGCTCTGAATATAATACATTGTTATGCGGGACAGGAAGCCAGAGTGTATTCATATACGGTAGACTTGTGCTGGGGTCCCCCCCACCTTAAAGGCCGAATTACTGACCCCGCCCAGGATGCAACCCCACAACAAGCTGACGAACTCCTGAGTACCTACTCACTGCTAGGTGAACATAGGCATTGGGTGAAAGGAAATGTGCCCAACCACTTCTGTCCCTCCCAGGATTCGATCCCGGAATTCTTGATTGCTTGTCGAGAACAAACCCAACTGTACTACTAGACCCGGGACTTTAATATAACCTGGGACTAGGCACCAACACATTGAATCAGCCATTCACTGCCACCTCCCAGGAAACAGCTTGCAATGTCATCCAAAGCAACTGGGATGCAAGGCATGGCCTCTCATACAACTTATCGTCTAAGATGCAGATGCTCAAGAGGAAGGAACAGGCAAAACAGAGCTGCAGCCATAACATACAACACACCCAAGGAAAAAATGGCCCCTGGGACCCAGCATAAAAGAGTTGAGGAGGTATAATGGATGACCATCTGTGAGGAAGAATATACCACAGAAAATCATGAAAAGCCAGGAAAATTAGCGCGTCCCAACTAGTAGAAATGAAGATATGAAAAACCCTCGTGGAAGCACAGAATAGGATAAGCCAAACAAATTGTTGACAGGTTGATCAAGTTCAAGAGAATGAGCACATATCAACCACAAACAGACCTCACTCCAGCAACCAAGTTTCAGAGCACTACCTAGAATCAAGTGAAATCTCAAGGGGAAACCCCCCATCAAGAAGGAACCAAAATCTCTGAAGTTAAAATTGGGTGGTTAAAGGTCTTTGCTCTTGGTTCCTGGGAAGGGTGCCATGAACAAAACCAAAGGACCATAGAGCAAGAAACATTAGAAGGTAATAACAACCCGTCCTCGACTGAAGTCCATTACATTCAGTGGTCAACCCCACAGACGCATTCATAAATTTTGACATGCTGTTCATTCAAAACGGGAATTTTCGCAAGTATAAATTAATATTATAATATATTATCATATTGTGTATATATAGGCATAGGATAGGTTAGGTTAGGTGTTTAGGTTCTGTTGGCAATTATTTGTATTTATAGTACGTGTGTGAAGCATTTATAGCGTGATGGTTCGAACAAAATTCGTCAGTGAAGCACTTGTTCCGGATATGTTCGAACGTCAGCAGTTGCGAGTCGTGTGTCGCTTTTCATTCATAAACAGGGGGTTTGGCGGGTGCATGGAATCACTTTTGGATCTTTGTTTGGAGGACGGGCTGTACTGTACAGTGTTGTGGTTCGAACAAAATTCGTCAGTGAAGCACTTGTTCTGGAAGTGTTCGAACGAAATCAGTTGCGAGTCATGTGTAAACCATTTTTCATTCATAAACAGGGGATTTGACGGGTGCATGGAATAACTTGGGTCTTTGTTATTAACCTTGTCCTCCAAACAATCATACATGCTCATGAAACTTTACAATGACCCCTAACATGCCAGACACACTAAAATGTCTGCCGTTACTTAGCTGAAGCAAGCATCAGTTCCCAGGAAGAGCAATGGTGACCTGGGATGCCACACCCACCACTTTGTGGCAGGTGGAAAAATTTATGGGGAAAAATTCTTACTAGTTTGCAGAATTTTACTTGGGAGGAAGCTTGGGTTGTTGTGCAACACTAACATTTTTAAGGGCAGTTAATCTTTGAATAATCTAACACTTGGATCTCCATTAGTGCTTGATTGGCAGAGACTGTCTCAGAGCCCTAGTATGTCTACCATGGTCCTAATGTTCTAGTGTCATAAGCTACAGGGAGCTACTGAAGGTATGAAACAAAAAATTTAGGAAGGTTTGACTTTATAAAAAAAAAAAAAAAAAAATCTTAAAAACTATTTTGCGGTTTCTTGGGGCAAAGTTTACCACTTACAAAAGTTTTTGTACATATATATTGGATATACAGTACCATTAAAGCCACCTCCAATCACAATGTCAAGAGTAAATACGACAGAACATTAATGCCCTACAACACAGTGGTCAGAGCAGTCAGCTCACAACTGAATGGGATCAAGATTGATCCATTGTTTTGTTAAGATATTATAATCTGCCTTACAAACCACTTCATATTTCTGGAAACCGTAACCAGCAGTTCAGGAAAGATTTCTCACAGGTGTAGGACTTTTCTTCCATTTCCATTTCATTTTAGAAAAGTCCATTTCTCATGGACTTTTCTAAAGCTTTAATATTATTCATATGAAAGACTGGGATCGAAATTACAAGAACATTCAAAAAAGGGTACAATACTAAAATGGTTAAACAAAAGAAAGCACAGGGTTGTATGTTTTCTTTGGTTAACCATTTAATTTTTAAGTCTATCAATGAAAATGCATTGATGGACTTGGGGGGGGGGGGGATCCCCACTAATGATTTGTCATTTTTTCCAAGGATTTAAATCGCGACTGGAAAAATGTAGCGAGTAGGGTACTACAATGTTCCAGCTTGAGGCCAATCCTTTTTGTCATTTACAGTACCCGAATTTACCCGAGGGTCACTATTTTTCTAGTGACCTCGACGAGGACAGGAAGTTGGCGACTTGTCAAAGGTCCACCCCATTTGTCCTGATTTTTTCAAGCTGGATTTTAAAATTCAGTGTTTTAGCATTTACAGCTTCAGTGTGTACGCAGTTTCATGAGTTTATAACACTATGTGTCAAAATTAAATAATAAAACTAAAAAAGTACTTACAGTAATTTCATCTTCATAGTTTTCTACCTAGTGCTTTAAACTCGCAATGTACCCAAGCCATACAATTTCACCATTGTAATCATTGCTATCATCATGGTTGTTATATTGAAGCACACTTTCTTACACGATACCTTGAATTAATCGTCAAATTATGCTACAATGTACCAGTTGATAATTCAAATTTGACTTTAAATGTCATCTTTGTCAAATTTTCTTACCATGTACACGTTAACATTTTTTAAATTTTGCTAGAAATTACCTACTTAAAATTATCTGTTAGATTCACGACCTGCCCAACACGCTATGTGTGTTAGTGGCTTCACAAGAATGTAAAATCATCAGTGCTATGTTTTCAAATTCAAAAATTCAAATGTTTATTTAGGTAAAGTACATACATACAAGGGGAGGGATACAAATATTGATGAATTTATAGATAGAGCTAGTACATACAATGCCTAAAGCCACTGTTACGCAGTGGGGTCCCTTGAATTGTAGAGCATTTCTAGTTTGATTAAGTCGTACTCTTGGAATATCAAAAATTATTCGTTTCTGGTGTGGTACAATGTACTCTCATAAACCCAATGTACCATTATATTTATATTTTATATTATACCAGTATGTAATATATAAAAGCATCTCCAGACAGAGCATCAGCGACATACGAGAATATTATAAACCCACATCAAATTTGCAGGCGACACCAAGATCTTTGGTAAAGTAAATGTGAAATTAACATTGAAGCCATTCCTTGCCTTATAAAGAGATCTACATGAACTCCATAGACAGTAATAAAACTGGCAAATGCATTTTTAAAATTGAAAAATAAAAGTCCTTGCATGTGGCACATAATGTGCATCATACCTGCCAAATCAACATTATCTTGCAGCAGATTAACGAAGAAAAGGACCTTGGGGTCACAATCCACCAATCACTGAAAGTTGCACAAGTGGGAGCTGCAGTAAAAAAAGCCAACCAATCCCTAGGAATACTCAAATGAACCTTTGACTTCAAGGAAAAGAAGACATTTGTTTGACAGTACAAACCTCTGGTGCACCCACCATTTAATAATAATTTTTATTTTAATAATAATAATAATTAATAATAAGAATATTAGCTTTGGAAAATGTTGAACACGAGACACAGAAATCATTCCTGGACCAAGTGGACTCTCATACCAAGAATGGTCAAGGGCCACAGGGCTAACAACACTCGAAACCAGACAAGAGGGCTCGTCTCATCGAAACTTTTCAAATATACTGTAGTGAACAATTCGGAGGATATCAGTCCAGACCACTTCCTTCAAAGCTCATACTGCAGTTCAAGAGCCAGCTCAATAAAATCACCAGGACAAATGAGGGAATCTTTGACAAGCCACAGGCTTCCTGGCCCCTTCAAGACCACTAGAGAGTCATGGTCTCCCTCAGGTAAATCCAAAATAACCACAGAAATACAAGTCAAATGCTACAACACTATTCATCACCCATAATTTACACGATATTCTATGACCAAACACAACACTTCTGTTAAATGGTTCATTTCACATTCTAAACCATTTGGTTTAATGGTTTAGTTCATTTATTATGCACCTCAATTCATTTAGTTAAACAAGTTACAATCTTGATGAGCTAGTTACAAAATTCAGTACAAGTCGTCACATCAACACTGAGCTCTAGAGCGAACACACGTACAGTTTCTAAACTGTTTAATGGTGTTTATTAAATGGTGTTAATAATTGCAACAGTGTTAAATGGTGTTTAATGGTACAGTCAAATCTTAAACCTACCAGCTGTCCTCAGAGGCGGTGAAGGAGAGGTGTCAGGACAGGTGTCAGCAGCAGTGATAGTGTCAGGAGCAGTGACAGTGGCAGGAATTGTGTCATAAGCAGTGGCAGTGTCAGGAGCAGTGACAGTGGCAGGAGTAGTGTCAGCAGCAGTGACGGTGGCAGGAGCAGTGACGGTGGCAGGACGTGTCAACAGCAGTGACGGTGTCAGGAACTGTGTCATAAGCAGTGTCAGGAGCAGTGACAGGAGTAGTGTCAGCAGCAGTGACGGTGGCAGGAGCAGTGACGGTGGCAGGAGCAGTGACGGTGGCAGCAGGAAGAGTGTCAATAGCAGTGGTAGAGTCAGGAGGGGTGGCCGAGGTCTTCTGGTCCTGCCAGACCACAAGACCCGCCGCCCTCACCTCGCACCTTCTCTATACAACTCCTAGTACTATACGCAGATTTATTCTTGAAGGTCGTGGAAGAAATTATAAATACACTCATTATTATATCCTCGTCCGGTGTCTGTTAATTATTCTATACAAATTATTTGTACCTTTCGAAGAATATTAGTGACATTTGTAATGAGCGTTCGCGTTCAAATAGTAATAAATAAGTCATAGCTAATACAAGAATCATGGATTAAATTATAACAAAATTGAATAATGTTCATGAATATTAATAATATCACACAAGTCAGCATACTATTATCATAATAGTCAAGAAATATGTCTTCTACTTTAGGTCATCATTGAATGCTACCTCATGTAAACAGACGCACGACTTCGCTGCGCTGCGCCACCTCTACTTTTTTCAAATTTTCGATTGTGTGGCCCGATAACTGGAGACTTTATCCATGAGTCGCATCCCTAACCCATTCGCCGGTGGTGCAGGGCAGCAGCAACAGGGACCCCAGAGCAGCTCGAGCCCTGGCCACCAGCAGGGTGCCCAGGCAACCTCTACCCCAGGCTTCCTCATCATGACCAGGCCACCCTCGGGCTCCAACAGGTATGGTGGCAGGGGCTACAATACTCACAATTCAACCTCCCAACATAACCCCAATCAGCAGAAAAATAACTTCATACCTTTCTCGTCAAATGGTGGAAATAACTCTAGTCAGGAAGGTAACAGGCGAGGAGGTGGTGGTGGACGTGGCAGATTTAATCATGGAGGCGGTGGAAGAAATTTTTCCGCTCAAGGAAGCCCAAGGTTTGCTTATCCCTTCCAACAATCTCCAGCGAGAATAAATAACCCATATGGGCAAAATCAGGGTTTTGCAAATACTCCAAGGAACAGACAAAATAATAAAAGTGGGGCTAGGTATAGTGATACGCATGACAGAGCATTTGGAGACCAGAAGAAATTTAGCTCGAATGGTAATTCAAGACGCGGAAGAGATAGAGGCCCACTCAGTGATGTTCCAATTGATAAATTTGTGTCAAATAATATGATACAAGATCCATGGGCTGAGTTTGATGATGATGTAGATGATAATTTGCCTCAGCATCCCCAATCGAGTCCAGTTTTAGTAACTTTAGATGACTCGGAAATAGTTATTGACTCTGACGCAAGTGTGATTGTTGAGAATTCGTATGAAGAAGGAATAAGTGGTACAGAATGTGACAGTTCACCTGTGCATGATACTGGAAGTGACTCGCCATACGTTGCTACATCTTCGACCTCAGAGAAAGATACAGGAAGTGATTCTACTAGTGATGCATAGTATTGTCCTTTTGGCAAGAAATATTAACAGCTGTCCTGTGGTTAAACTATATTGCAGGGTATTGGAAAGTTGTTTCCTTGAATGTCTGCTGTTGTGAAATTTATTTTATCGAATTAGGTGCTATATAGTCTTATGGGCTTGGTGCCCACTTGGATAATTACTTATTTATTAAATTAAATGATAATATATTGGAACACAAAATTTTAAGGAAAACTTGTATACCTTGTATGTCTGTCAAGGTATTATTTATTTTACATTTTTATTACATTTAATGAAATTGTTGTGTATGATGGGAAATTTGGTTAAAACAAAATTTGTATATAAATTTTATAATGTAGCTATTGTTGTAGCTAGCTGTTGCCTTAGGTCGTTAATAGTTCTCATAATTTAATACTTGACAAAATCTAGGCAGTCAAACATATCAATAGGCAAAAAACCTTTGAAGACAATTAAGATTTTTTTTTAATGTAAACAGGAAAGGAGTTGAATTCAATAGTAATCTTTGAGGTCAAGGAAACTGATTATTGCTAGGTGTCATACTAGCTTATTAAAAATATTAAAGTACAAAAAATATGAACAGAATGTACAAACTTATCAATCAGTTAATAATATCTAGATTTATATACCATTTTGCAGATTTCTAGTTAAAAGGATTCTTTGCTTTTTAATGGGAATAAGTTATGTAGCTATACATGTTAAAGACATTTTATACACTTGTGTAAACTTTTTATTTGTTTGACATAAATATCTATTGAAACTAGTGAAGATTAGTTTTGCAAAGTCTTGACTGTTTTGATACCTGCTGCTGTTTGGTGGATATTGCCTGTAACACTATGCTAATTTATTGTGACTGTTGAGGTTATGACTAGAATGCAATAAGATATTTTGAATAAAACATAACACATAATTATAGACAATGAGTCGTAGTAATGTGGCTGAAGATACGATGACCAAACTACACATTAGAAGATGAAGAAACGATGACATTTCGATCCGTCCTGGACCATTATCAAGTCGACACACAATATGATAATGATCCATGATGGACCGAAACGTCAACATTTCATCTTCTAAGGCGTGGTTTGGTTATCATAACACATAACTAAAAACATTTAATATAATACTACATTTTAATTTATATTTATTATTGTTACAGTACTAACATTAATGATATTTTGATCACACAATTTGAATTTGGGTAAGAGAAATATGTACTGTACTTTCTACTGCTAATTGATTAAGTCCATTGTTGGTACAGCAAAATACATAATGATACTAGATATATCCTATCCTATGGTTTTCAGTAAGAAATTAGTAAAATAAGTACAGTACAGTATGTATGCATACTTATGATTTTTAACTTAACATTGAAAGATAGGTGTGTGACACTAAAATTCATAAATATATTTATAAATTTTATTATTAAATAATGTTTTCTTAAGAAAATTTTGTGCACAATTTATGAATGGCTGTAGAATATATTCATAGACAAATTTAGTTATACTATATGTATAAGAGTGATTTTCACATTTACACATTGACCAGAAGGCTAGCATAGGGTGTTTCAAATGACAGCTAGATTAAGATGTCACAACAAGGGGAAATTTGAAGATGACAATATATTGATATCTTACAAAAATAATTATGATAGTACTGTAACTAGTACTGTATTCAGTCATATTATATTTAAAAATGTCCATCCAGCCTACAACCCAAATTTTTTTTACAAAGTTATTTGCTCAGCTGTTTCTTTTATTATTATTAAACCTGCACATCTTGAAGCAAGATGCTTAGTTTTATCCTCCTGGAGAGGTAAATACTCAGTGTGGTGTAATACATTTTAAAGATACTGTACTGTATTTAGAGATATACATACAGTATAAGATTGTATTTTTTTGTAATACTTAAATGCTTGTGTAGGACATTTTTTAGTATTAAATGTGCAATTTAAGAATTCTGAATTTTTATTTTTTATAATCCGTAGGTAGACCCCTAATGTAATTCACACGAAGGCTGTAATCATCTTATAATAGTTGTTAATTGCCTATTTGTTGTGTTATCTACAGAACCATTAGTTAATTAATATAAATTAAATTTTCTCATCATTAAACTTGGGAGAGTATTTGCTAGTTTCTCAGTTATGTTTCTAAAATTTAACAGTTGGTAAATTTATTTTTCAAGTTTACTGTCTAGTAATTACATGTGACTACTTATTTAGACCTTCTTTTCCATTAAGGCGAGATATAAGA